TATCCAGGCTGTTGGAAAAAGACCTCCATTTCTCACAGCTCAAAGCAGAAATGGAACTAATGGTGAAAATTAAATTATGAATTAAGTAAAATTGGAATGAGTTACCAACCTAGTGGTTATCGATTTCTGTAGAACATTGTGATCCTGCAGAACAGTTGGCTAACGCCGCACCCACATAGGTGCAGCTGGGGAATGGAGACTCATCTTGTCCAGGTTGCCTGGCGAGGCCTCTCGATGGCTTCTGTGGCTGGACCATCAAGACCTTTGAGTTTCTCTTCTAAACTAATTTGTTAGAAGGGGGAAGAGCAAGTTCTGTGTCTGCATAAGAACCTTGGAGTCAGATAGGGTTTTGATTATGCCACAGTAAACACATTCATTCTAGCTTTTTCCATGCAGTAAAACAGAGGCTTTTCCATCATTTATTGGAGATTTGTTGTTTGACATTGCTGAAAACAATCTTCTTTGCTGAACTATTTGCACATCTTCTTTTTCTCTTACCAATTTTATCCAGTTTGTACAGGTCCTTTTCATAAATTAAGACTCCATGTCAAGCTGTGACCATTACTGCCATGGCGTGGCTTATTTTGAAAGTACTTAAAAATAAAACATGGACTTAGAACTTCAAACTTAAAAGTATTAACCCTGAAGTTCTCCTGTACTCCACAGCTCATACTTGGAATATACAGCCCTGTGTGACATAACGTTGGGGTTATGTTCTTAGCAATGCATCATTAGATTTCATCATTTCACGTGCTTCATTGAATGTAGTTAAACCTACATGGTACAAGTCAATCCTTGGCATGGCCTTGTGGTACAATCAAGAGACGGGGCATGAGAAGGTGAATAAGAGTGCTCCTGGTCTATGATTTCTTACTGTTTAGTATGACACAGCAGGTATATACTTTACTCAGTAGCATAATGATCACTTATTATTATCAAGTGTTCTGCCCTACACAATTAATTGGCAGGGGAGTTGTGTTTACGCCAGGATTGCCACAAGCACTGTGGTATTGTACAATTATTATATGACAAGATCACCAGGTGGTGGATATTTTCCGCTTCTTTGCAGGGCCATTATAATAGATGCAGTCTGAATATCCATAAAGTTGCTATGTGATACAGGACTATACTTTTCCTCAAAGATAAAACTCACACAATAGTAGTATATAGTCAACTGTTTGGAAATCTGCATACTGAGGGAATACATGAAAACACACATACGAATACAGAATATTACATGTACATATAAAATCTGTATATAAGTAAACACAAAGCTAACTATGTATGTATATGTATATATATATATATTCAATATATATACATATTTCATTTCATAATTAGGTTCATGTTAATTCTTTCTTGTATCTTGTTTTCATTCTTCAGATGACTTTAGTGTTCATTTTTGGACATTTCTATTATTTGCACTGGTTTCATTTTTATTATCAGAAAATGAACACTGTGCTATTGATACGCCCTTAGAAGTCTATCATTTCATTCTTTTGCAATTATATCAATGGTGGAAATCCCAGCAGCAATGATTTAGATTGAAAGGTATATATGCAAATGTTTGAAACATACTGTTGATTTGTTTTCTAATGATACCATCACCTCTCCTCTTCCCAGTCCTTCCTTTTATTATTTATTCTTTTTTTTTTTTTCCTGGAACCGGGGATTGAACTCAGGCCCTTGTGCTTGCCAGGGAAGCACTTATTCCACTGAGCCATCTCCCCAGTCCCTATTTATTCTTGAAATATAATTTTGTCTACACTGACTCCTGCCCTATAAAAGTGAGTACAACAGTACAGCTTCCCTATGCACATCCATATCTGTATTTATTTTTTCTGTGAAACTCTTATTTGCACTGTTGCTTTTAGTGTTTTCCAATTAATTTCTGTACAGATTTTGCATTGCAAAACTCATCTCTAATGTATGAAAACAATATTTTCTCAGGTTTTTACTTGTGTTTTGACTTAATAATGATCATTTTTGCTGCGAGATATTTCAATTGGTGTGTAATCACATTTAACATATATATTTTTTTCTTTATAGTCGATTTGTTTTGTAACCTAGAAAAAATGTCTTACTCCCTTAAGGACATAAATAAATATATCTGCATAGATTTAGAATGCTTTTGAAAATGTTTTTATATGAAATGCATTCTTATTAAATCCTAAATGTATACATTAAAATAAAAATACACCTTACTATTACTGCTATTATGCTGATTGCCAAAGAGATTCTTTTATTTTATGGGATCCATTTAGTACACTCTGCCTTGTGACATAGTCAAATTAGCAGAGCCTTTGTGGTTTACATTTGTGGCCATTAAGGAAGCCTGCCATTCTGTTCATCTCTTCAATCCCCAGTGTGTTTTTTGTGTTTATCCTTTCTTGTTTACTTGTAGCAATTTAAATGTATTGTTTTCATGAAAGTAGAAAATGAATTAATTTTGCTTTCTTGGATCACAATTGCTCCAGAACTTCTATCCTTAAATTGCATATTTTTCTTACTGGCTTGAAACACTGTAACAGATTATTGTAACATTTAAGAACCGTGTGCTAACCAGTTGTGCCACTGGAGCTTGAGATTCCCATAACAGAAATGAGGGCTTCAGTGTGCCTGAGTTTGCCATGGACTTCATGCAGAGCTATCAGTTTTCCTTTCATGATCTACAAAAGTATAAATTAATCATTGCGTAGGTCATTTTTCTATTATGAAATACCCATGTTTGTCTTTTATTAAACAAATTTTATATGGAAATATATTTTATTGATATTACTGCTGTTATAAGCTGCCTCTTTTTCCATAATTTTTAAGATTTACCTTTACACATCCTAAAATATTCCATTTAATTCTTTTTCCTTTTTAAAATGGAGCTATTTCAACTAGTAGATGATGGAATTTAGTAAATCAATGTATGTGTGAATCTCCATCTTTTAGCAGTTAAATATAACCATCAACAGTATTGTCATTACTAATAGTTTTATACTTTCCCTGACATTATTTTTATGATATTTTTAATTTGCAAATTACCATTCTCTCTTGTTATATACCATTGTAATTTTTATTGAATTAATGTTTCAATTTTTTCTTTCTCTTGTTTTTATATATTGCTCATATTTTAGTGATTATATGAATGTTTGCATTGTCAGTCTGCAAAGAAATGAGCATCAATATTTTACCCAAAACCTGCTCTTGATAACCAGATGATATTCTTTTTTATAAATCATGCTTCTCTCTTTTCTTCCTTGCATTACTTATTGTTATTTATTGTGTTGGTTAATTTTCTCTTGTTGCTGAGACAAAATACCCAAAAACCAAATTTAAAGGAAGAAAGGTTTATGTAGTTTACAGAGTTTAGAGGTTTCAGTCCACAATCAGGTGCTTCCAAGGCAGGGTGGCATGACAGAGGGGCAATGCTTTAAGG